TTAAGAACTTTACTCATTTTGACATATCAGATGTAACCTTAATTTGGCTACAGAAAACCCTACCTGGCTATGTAGATTTCCCTGAAGGGGAGAAACAAACAGAGTTTTCGTGCCAACCACATCAGTAACATAGATGCCAACTGTGTCAGGTCAACTCTTCCTGGGGAATGGAGACTCATTAAAATGAGTGTCAGGACGAATTTCACGCAGTTTGTAGAAGAAAGTAAACTTCACCGAAACCCGTGTTTAAATGTAATTTCTTTAATAACCACTGAGAGCCTATGATTTCCCCTACCAAGAGAGCACGTACTTCATTGTTAGTTACATAATGGGGTAAGCTTATACAGAATGCTGTGGAAAAACAGCTGAAGCATGTGATCACAGAATAGGAGAGGCTGATTTTCATTGTGGAAGCAGCCTCGTTACTTTAGAGTCATGCCTTGTAATAATCACTGGTTCAACCACCCAGGCCATGACATGCTGAATCCATAGCATCATTACACCTACAAATAAAAGGCATAACAATACTTGTCCTTCTTGATGATTATCTCAAAATGTTTCTGATGGAGCCCTATTATCTTTAATACGCTATCTGGATCGATCAAGAAATTATCTTACCATTTTCTGTGTCTATATTTTCCAATGGCACTTGCATTATCTTTCTGCTGTGCTGTCACGCCTATTACCTTCTTCTCTTTTTTTTTCTTCTGGGTTTAAGCCAAGCATGTCAAACTCAAAGGCTAACACAGGCCAAATAAACAAGGTTTAAGTTTATGTGGGCCACAAAAAAACAAAGCTTCAATTTTCATAGAAACTTAGATTTATTTTGATAGACATGCTGAATACACATGGCTTAAATAAATAAGTAATCGTTCACATAAAATAATAGAACATTTTATTAAAAAATATTTTTCTAACATAAACTTACCAGACAGTGAATAACTGCACAAATTAGTAAGCGTAACGCAAATAAACCTATTTTTCTTATTCTCCAAAAGCGAGATATTTCCTGTTGCGCACACCAAACAAGTCAGTACAAGAGTAATGATGTGGCTATCTGCTGCTAAAATATTCGCTGCTACCCTGTATCCCCGATTATTTTGCTCCCAAAAATGCGCTGGGTCTTATTTTCAGGGGATGTCTTATTTTTCCATGAAGAAGAATATGGTACACATTTATTGTTAAATGAAAATAAAGGAAATTTATTACCTGTATACGGTACGGTAGTACGTCAACACAAACCAGACAACACAAACCAGACAAACTGTGAATCCTACAGTATCAATTTACTCATTTATTCAATGACAATCATGTCATCATCTTCTGGAACATCATCATAACTATCCAATTCCTGAATTTCCTGGTGAATTTCTTGTGACTCCATTTCTTTCAGAATCAGTGGACCAAATCTCTCATGTTTAGCCTAGGGGGGGCCTTATTTTCGGGAGGATGCCTTATATTTCACTCAGAAGGAAACCTGTAAGTAGGTCTTATTTTCGAAGGATGTCTTATTTTCGGGGAAACATGGTAGTATTAGTGGAGAGAAATGGTGTACCTGTACATAAGGTGTGTAAGGGAAATGAATGCAACACAATTATAGTCATCAGTCATCAGCAAACATTGTCGTTCGTTATTAATAACTACATATAAAAGGATATTGTAAAAATTAAGTTATGAAGTGTTTATTAAAACGTTTCTTACATATTGTTATATTGGCTGGGCAGCAAAAGTATTCGTTACGGGCCGTGAGTTTGACATGCTTGGTTTAAATAGTTTATCTGTCTTACATCTAGCATAATGGCACCATTTAAGATTATTACATTTTAACCTATTATTTTGAATTGAAAGAAAGTTAACATATCTATACCTGTGGTCTAGGTTAAAGGGAATTGCAATAAGGACTTCAAAAAAAAAAAAATCACTTCTGTCCTCTTTCTTAAGCAGTGTATTTTCATTACTAGGTAAGTCTTATGAGGGCAGAGACTGTGACTCTGTGTCCCTTAGAGTGCCTATACCATGTAGGTGCTCAAAACATTTGCTTAAGTGGTGACACTGACAGTGACAGCAGGCCGGCTCTGGATGCAGCTCTGTGTGCAGATGCCAGGGCAGACTTGGCCTCTCAGGATGCGCAGATAATCTACCTGGCACACGGGCTTCTCTCTGACAGCCCCTCGCATGCTGATATCCTCAGCTTCAGCTACAGACCTTCCCTTCGCACGCTACACACTCCACCTGAGCAATGGCATCCACGTGCATGGCCTGTTATTACACGTGTGGATGACATTATTGTGGCTCTGGCTTCTTTCTAAGCTACAAATTTTATCAGTTATTAGATATTGCCATTCCTATGGCTGACGACACCTCACCAAAGGCTTCAGACTGGTTATCATCACACCCCAAAACCTGCTCCTTCTCCGGGGCTGTCTATTTTAGTGACTATGTCCTCCCAATTACCTAATAGGGAAACCCAGGTATACCTCATTTCTTCTCTTGCACACCTGCGTTGGTAATTCCCAGTAATTCTACTTCCAAAAACATCTCTCTAATTTCTCTGCTCCTCTCCTTTCCTACTGAGACCATCCCTGCAGCATCATCATAACATACCAGGATGACTTCTAACTGGCGACTTTGCCTTCAAAATAGCTCCCCTCCAATCCAATACGCAGTCAGAATGATCTTTCCAAAATGTGCATCTGTTTTAAAACCTTTAAAAGGCTTCCTATCCACCTCAGGAAAACATTCAAACTCTGTCACTCTTACAAGATCCTTTAAGAGCTCGAAACGACCGTGTGATTTACACTGTAACATGGCAAAATGTACAAAGCCCACAGGGTCTCAGGAGCCAGACTGACCTGTCACTTACTAGCTGTCTCAAAACAGGCAAGTTACTTGATTTCTCTGTTCCTCGGTGTCCTCACATGTAAAGTGGAAATGCTAATACCTATTTCACTGTGTGAATGTTAAGACGAGATAAAACACGAGATAAAACCCCATGTGTGACACAGTGTCTGACATGTAGCAAAAGCGTCCTAAATTCTAGCTGCTGTTATCTCTCTAGTTAATTTCCCATTTCTCTCCCATGTATATTCTGAGCCCCATCCATAGAGAACATCTTTCATTTCCTCCTCTCACATGTTTTCTCTTCTGTGTAACTCAGTCCCTCTGACTGCAGCTGCCCCTCCCTCCACCCCGCCCCTCCTGCACCGCTTCAGGTTTTGTACATTCCCCGCCATACACTGGTCTGAGTTTCTGGTGCCTTTTTCACTCTTTACCGCTATTCAGTAAGTTTAATTTGAATAAGAACTGCCTTGCTCACCATTGTGTTCCCAATGCTCAGCAAAGACAGCGCCTAGCACGCACTTAAGAAAAATCAGGTGTACGAATGAGTGTATGTTTCCTCTCTCACAGTTCCCCCTGTGTTCTTCCCCAAACTACAGTAACTTTAACCATAACTTCCCCAGAGCAGCTCTCTGTAAAATAAGGTGCAGAACAAACGCAGTCACACAATACTGGGGAGGGTAGGCTGAAACAAAGTTGTAACTTTTGAACCACATTATTTCTCAGTCTTTTCTATGCTAAAGTGCACTGCCAATCTCCAAAGTCCCCGTGTGTGTGTGTGTGTGCGTGTGTGCGTGCGTGCGTGTGTGTGTGTGTGTGTGTGTGTTGGGGGGTGAGGGGGTGGGGTGAGAAGTAGGGAGAGAGGGGAGCACATTCCTCAAAATATCAGTATCTCCTGCCTGCAGTGTTCCCTAAAAACATCCTGGCAAAACCGGGTCCAGGTGAGCATGTGATTGTGGACGGGAAATCTCTGAAGCACTTACTTCGCAGGGTTCCCTGTTTTGGGGTCGCCCCACCCCCACCCCCACCCCCTGCACACAGAACCTGGGGGCTGTCGGTAACCACAGACAGAGGTCCGCAGATGCTGAAACGGAAGCCACAGAGCCCCTAGGCACCCCAACCAGGAAGAGAACCCCGACGCCCGCTCCGTCCCCGCGCCTTCCACCGCGGACAATGCCTCAGGCTAGGGTGCACCCGGAGCGTCCCCACCCGGAGGTTTTTTTTTTTATTTTTAATTTATTTTCAAGCCATGTCAGCTCCTGTCGGCCACCCGCCAGCCAGGCCTACTGACTGCCCCTCCCGCCTTTCCCCGGGGCCATCCAATGCACTTGGAGCTTGGCCGGGGCGGGGTAGGCAGTTTCTTTCTGTCCTACTTCCCATCGGAGTTTATTTTTTGGAGGGTGAACTTTTTCGCGTAAACCGAACGAACTTGCTCCTTGTAAAGCCTCCTTCTGAAGCCCCCATGGGCGCTCCACCTCACCCTGCGCACCCCAACCTACCCCCCGCTCTCCGCTTCCTTCCTCCCGCTCAAGCCCGGGGGGCCTGCTGTTCGCTCTTCACCTGGGACTGCCATGGCGCTGGAGAAAGGGATCGCAGGAACCCCCTAGGCTTCGGAGGCCACGCTCGCTTCCCGCCGCCGGCTGCGAGGACAAGGCGCTGCCCGGGTGGCGTCTTCTTGGCCCCCGGGCGACAGCGCGGGGAGGCCCTCCGAGACTCTGGCCGCGGGGAACCAAGCAGCCGCCGGCGCGGTTTCCGGGGGGATCCTATTGCCCAGCACACGGGCCAAACCATTCCTGCAAGTTGCGGGGGAACAAGGACACCTGCATACGCATGTAGAAAAAGTAAACGCCACCAAGAATTAGGAATCGTTATTTTAAAAGTTGTAATAGGAATTAAAGTTATCTAGATAGGGGCTTGATGCTTTTTTTCTTTCCCCAAAGGACATTAGACCCCCCCTCCTCAGGGTTAGCGGTGCTCGGATCCCGGAGCAACATGGCGGCGTCCGTGAGAGGCTAGTTACGGGCCAAGAGAGGGTTGGGTGTCGTTTTCTTTCGGGACATTGACAGACTGGAGCTCTCCCGCGACCGAACGACCGAAAGGAAGTGTGATAAGTTTAGGGGACCGGCCACCAGTGAGGAGCAGAGTCCTGAGCATTGACCAGCATGAGCAATATCTACATCCAGGAGCCTCCCACGAACGGGAAGGTGAGATCCCCTCCTAGGACACCTGGGTCCCCGGAGTGATACCTCACCGAGGAAGGGAGTTCTAGGATTGGGAAGGATCCCCAGGTCAGGAGGCTTGTCCTTCCTCCGGCCTCTGATCAGGATGGCATCGGAAAACCATCTGTTGGCACTTCTCAGCATAGGCACACTTTGAAAAAGTCCCCAAGTGGAGATTTCTCCATCGACCAGCCTGTGGTCCTGTTTCTTGCTTCAGCCCAACTCATGCAGGCGCGGGGGTCTTAGGTAAAGACCTAAATACATGAACACATTTGACTTATTGTTGTTGTTTTTTATCTTTACTCACTTCTCTTTCTCCATTTAGTCTACAACCATTGAACTAGGCACCTGATACTCTACTAGGTGCTGGGGATACAAAGACGGATGGATAAGGTCTAGTTGTTGCCCAGGACGAGCTTATGGTTTAGTATGGAGGCAGACAGGTAAAGAAAAATCTTATGACATGTCTGGTAGGCGTGCTTATGAGAGAGGAGCATGTTGCTTATGGAGTACTGAGAAGTGAGCAGCTGGGAAGTTAGGGGAAAGCTTCATGGATGAGGTATATTGCTAGTCTTAAAACATGAGATCATTGTCAGTCACAGGAAGTGGGGCATGGGAAACGTTCCCACATTGGAATGGAAGAATACTTTTCTGATTGATTTGAGCGTCACGGTGTCTCAGTTCTCTTCCAAGGTGTTCATATGCGGTGTGAAGTAGAGGAGTCAGTGATGTAATAAACATCACCTGAGTTAATCCAAGACCTAGTCTTTATCATCACATATGAAACATAATGAACTAGCAAAATGTAGAAAACAGGGGGACTGAATTAGGGTGAACTAAGTTTATATCAGATATAATTCTGTTGCATGACTATATCATGATACTCATGCAATCTTTTGTTGATTGACATTTGGAAGTATAATGAGGGCAATTTGAAAAGAATAATGGACGTTTTGTAATTGACAGCCCCAGCAAAAATTTTAGTAGTTATTTTGGGCAAAGCAATTACTTTAATTCTTGGTGGTTTGAACTTTTCTTTACTCTTCACTCTTACCCTATATCATTGTGAAAATCCAGAATTGCTAACTTTTTTTATTTCCAAATGTTGTTTTTTTTTTTTCATCCCCAGTTGATAAATACTGGTAGGGATTGATTTCATTGCCTATATTGGTAGGCAGGGTCTTCACACTTGTGGTTCCTTTCTCTAATACTAGTATACTTTTTAGCCTGGGCAAATGTCACTTTCACAGAGGCCTTGCCTATCTACTCTTTTATAAAATAGCAAACCTCATTTATGTTCTGCATCCCAGCATTGCTTTGTCCCTTTAACCCCTTTAGTTTTTTTTCTATTGTTTACTAAAGGCCCGGTGCACTGATTCGTGCATCAGTGGGGACCCTTGGCCTGGCTTGTAGGGATCTGGCTAAAACCTGCTCTCCAGCATCCCTCGAGGGGCCCTGGATTGTGAAAGGGTGCATGCCAGGCTGAGGGACCCCACTGGTGCACGAATTTGTGCACTGAGTCTCTAGTATACATGTAAGATCTTTGGTTAATCTCTTCCTGCCCTTCCTCTTCACCCTTCTCTCTGAGATTCATCAGTCTGTTCCATGTTTCCATGCCTGTGGTTTCCTCTCCTGTATTGAGTGTCTGTTCCCTGGTGGTCAGTGCGCGTCATAGCTACCGACCAGTCAGCCAGTCACTTAGGCTTTTATATAGAGAGATTGTCTCCTCCCTTTACCTTTCTCCTCCCCTACAAAAGCCGAAATAAACATATAAGAATGGCACTTGACACATGGTAGGAAATGTTCAAATATGTACTGAATAAATGGATTAATTAATATTATTTCTCTCTTCTTATATATATCCAGCATCAGTGAGTTTGTGGTTATACTGCTGCTTGTCAAGGGCAAATTTAGTTGCTTTATTCTGGAGGAAGATTTTATATGGTCATAAAGATGAAAATCTTTAACAAAGGTATTGCCTGAACAGGAGATCTTTCATTCTAAAAGTATTTATTGAGCATCTAGCAGCTGCCTAGCTCTATGTTTGGTTTTAGATACAAATGAAAAGAAAAACCACCATTTTCCCTATTATAATGGAATTGGTTGAGTGAAATATATATTGACCAAATAATCAAGCAAATTTGTGTCTGCAAACAGTGATAAATATTGTCCTTCTGAACAGAATTGGACTGAGGGAGAATATCAGGCATGACTCAAGTCTTACTTCAAAAACAATTTTGGACTTTTTTTCCAGCATAAGACTGAGTGAAGACATTGAAGTTACTAAGTTCTGTACCAAAGTAGATACAGAACCTACTTGGAGCCATGGCAGGTGTGGCTCAATTGATTGGACTTTGTCAAAAATTTGCTAGGTTGATTCCTGGTTAGGGCACATGCCTGAATTGTGAAATCCATCCCCAATAGGAAGTGTGCAGGAGGCAGGCAATCGATGTTTCACTCTCACATCAATGTTTCTCTTTCTTTCTCCCTTCTTCCTCTAAAAATCAATTAAAAAAACTCTTACAAATATTTTTGGTCTGGAAAGAATTCAAAGCAGATGTAATAAATTTGCTCAATAAATGTTTGTGTAGTGTTTATACTCTAATGTTACATTAAATACTGAAAGGATATAGAGATATTCAGAATAAACGGGACAAAATTCCTCTCTTCAAAGAGTATAATACTTCTCTTAGAAGTAACTGATGCATGATGACACAGAAATGAACTACTTGATAGAAATATCCTTGTTCACGGAAGATTAAATTTCCACATACAATAATTTAATGTAAATTATATATTAACATTTATTCTTAGGTAGCTTTTTACTATCAAAGTATTGTTTTATTTAGAAGCTTTAAGAAAAGGGACCACTGCCCTGGCCAGTGGCCTCTGCACTGAATGGCTGCAAGTTGGATTCCCAGTCAGGGGCCAATACCTGGGTTTCAGTTTGTTCCCCAACCTGATTGGGACAAGTGGGAGAGGTGTCCCTCTCACATTGATGTTTCTCTCCTTCCTCTTCCCTTTCATTCTCTCAAAAGAAAAAAAAAAAAAAAAAAAAAAAAAACACCAATGGAAAAAGTATTCTCATGTGAAGATTAACAAAAAAGGAAGGAAGCTATTGATGGCTGACAAACATAACGGCCAATAGGAATGTATGTGTGGCCAAAGGAGGAGGGAGCCACCTGTCTTCTCTTTTAATTCAGTGGCTTATCAGTGAAGGTTAAGAAACTCTGGTAAGCAAGGTGACCCAACCTTAACTTTTATGTATTCTTTTTAGGAGATGTAAGTGGTATGTGTCCAAAAAATTTGTATGAAAATAATGACAACAAGAATAGCTACCATTTTTTGAGCATTTACTATTTTGTCAGGTGCTGTTCCAAGCAATCTATGTATAATAACTCACTTCATCATCACAACAAAGCTACAAGATTATTCTTATTCTTAGAATAATTTTTAGATAAGGAAATAATTTTTAGATAAGTTTTAGATAAGGAAATTGAGTCACAGGAATGTTAGACATCATGCCTAAGGTAAGGAAGCTACCTTATCCTTTATAAGCACATGGGTCAGTATTTGAATTTGGGCAGCCTGGCTCGAGCCTGTAAAGGAATGGGAGTGATGTGCATTCGATTGTTTTTTAGAACAGTAGTTTCTAAACCAGTGAGCGCACACTCCAGAGGTGTGGAAAATTATCCATGAGGTACAGGGAGAAAATCTACATATTTCTCTTTGTATTTATTTTGTCCTAGTTTAAATGCCATATTTAATATATAAAAAACATATAAGTTCACTTCCTCACCCTGTCCAGTGTGGGTCAGTTTTTGAGCATTGCCCTGTGCACCAAAAGGTTGTGGGTTCTCTCCCCAGTCCCCAGGCATCTGATTGATGACTCTCTCTTAATTGATGTTTCTATCTCTCTCCCTCTTTTTTCTTCTCTGAAATCAATAATATAATACTATATTTTTAAAATAAAAACTACCATAATATAGATATTTCCACCTCTCCACCCCCATGGTCATTAAAGAATATGTATGAAAGAACTATGAAGCTAATAAAGGCCCAAAAGCATATAATAAATTCATCAATGTCATATAAATTATGGTAATATCTGGGCTTCTGAAACAAATTGAAAGGCAACTGAGCAAAAATACACTGGATGAAGAAGGAATGAGAGAAATGTTATTCCTGCTTTGCTATTAATAAGCTCTCAAACTCTGGGCAATTTACAATTTCTTTGAGGCATTTGTATAATGTATTGGGTGGTGGGGCTTAGCTTAACGACTTCTAAATTCTTTCCAGTTTAAAAAAATTTGTGGAAATTAGTAAAGGAGTTTTAGAAAATAAAAAGTGTGACGTACGTCATTGACACTGACATCCCGTGAGAAATCAGTTTCATGTTTTTAAATACGTACATAGTCACACTGCATACACTTTATTTTAAATGATGGTGCTAGTCACAAATCACTGACCATTGATCATTGATTGATACTGACCTATATTGGTACATTGGGGGAGAAAAAGTGATCCTAGAGAAGTTGGACTCCCACTATGCCACAATAGTAAAATTTAGAGTCTAACCTTTTTGGTTATCCTTTATAAAAATAAAAGCATAATATGCTAATTAGACCAGACAGCCAAATGTCCTTCAGACATCCTTCTGAACAAAGCCACGCGGGCTGCAAGGGCCAAGGGCAGGCAGCCATGGCCTCTGGAAGCGGCCTCAGTGGCGGGTTATGGGGGCAGTACTTTCCCCTGATCGCCTGGTCATCTCCTGCAGAGGGAGGCCAGATTGCCTGGGAGCGGGCCTACAATGTCAGTAGGACATCCCCTGAGGGCTCCTGGACTGTGAGAAGGGGCAGGCCAGGCTGAGGGACACCTCCCTCCCCCCAGTGCACGAATTTTGTGCATTGGGCCTCTAGTTTATTAATAAAATGGTTAACAGCTATTTCTTCCTATGGGGTCAGTAGGGGTTCTGATTGTTGAAAGATGGCTGGTTGCACCAAGGAATAACTGCCTTTATGAGCTGGTAGAAAGGAGGTTATCAAAAGATTCCATTTACTGTAGATGGTGATTTTTAGGCATAGAATTTTAATTATAACCCAGAATTAGATTGAGACTATTATTCCTTTATAAACTTTATCATTTATGAGTTTGAATGAGAAAGTATTTATATGTAAAACGGTAATTGTAAAATTGTCTTATAGTTTCACAATTTCATGTGTTCATTGTTCTTTAATTTCTTAATTTGCTATTTCAATTTTATTAGAAGAAATGCCTTGGTTAAATTATCTTGATTAAAATAATTTTAAATTACTGATTTTTAAGTGAATGAGCTTTTTTCTTTGATTGAACAAGGTGTATGCTACTTTTCTTAAATCTTAAACTAGTTCTGAAAATGGTATTTGAAAACTACAAATGTACAGTGACTTACATGAATAGTTGAAATTTTTATGAGTATAACAACACAAGCCAAGCAAAGTTTCTAATTTTTATTTTAAAACTGAAAACTCATAAGAGAATGCTTCAAAGTTGACAGGTCATTCAACTGATTATCAAGCAAAATGATAATTTGATATAATGAGGTTCTATTCTTTCTACAGGTTTTATTGAAAACTACAGCTGGAGATATCGATATAGAGTTGTGGTCAAAAGAAGCACCTAAAGCTTGCAGAAATTTCATTCAGCTTTGTTTGGAAGGTAATCATAATTCTTGAGCTTTATTCTGTAGGGTAAATTTTGTAAAAATACACAAACTGCAGTGTGTTTTTCTACAACATTGAAGACTGGTGTTAAACAGTGGTAATGAATGATAAGAGTTAAAAGAAATGATAAGGTGATGAACTATGTTTCAGGAAATAAAGGAGATAAAAATTAATAAATAAATCTCTACATCTTTAACAGAGAAATTTGCTCACCATATGATATTTTGATTCTTTTTGGTGTCCGTGGCTATTTTCCATTTCTTTCTTTCATCCTCTAAATATGGGCATTCCCTAAGATTGCCTCTAGTTTTCCATTGCCTTTACTCTTGAGTTGCTACTTCATTCAAATGACTATTAAATATAGAATTCCAGCCATTTCTTCGTCTTAGTGCTAATTTACATATCAAATTGCCAAGTGGACTTTTCTCTTCAAATCTTCCAGTGTCAGTTATAACTAAAACCAGTGTAAAACCAAATTTACCAGGTTTTTCTCCAGTCTGCCTTAACTTTCACCTAATTGTAATTGCCTTTTACTTGGTCTTCCTCCCACTAATCTTTAATATCTTTACCCTCTTCTTTATTCATCTGGTAGTTGAATCTTTAGGCAGCATGGCTTCCTAGCTTTTCAACTTTATTTTTATTGCACTCAATAACCCCATGGTGTTAGTTGATCATCTTTACCTCCTGAAGCAGTTTATTTTCATTCCCACTTTCACACATATCCTCAGATCTCCTTCAGATAAGATGAGATCGGGCACATTCAGGGTGGTATGACCATAGATGCATACCTGCTTCAAATGCTCAATTTCTTCATATCTTCAGTTTTCTATTTGTAATACTTTCTCTTTTTTTCTGCTTAAGTCTACCTACTTTTTAATGTCTGTTCAAAATTCCACTTTCTCTATGAAGCTTTCCACTTAGCATTCAATGCCTCTAGTATTTTTTTAGATTTGAGTCATAAAGTGACTATTTTTCTTTTTCTGTTTAATCCTCACCCAAGGATATGTTTATTGATTTGAGAGAGAGAGAGAGGGAGAGAGAGCAAGAGAGAGAGAGACAGACAGACATTGGTATGAGAGAAAAACATCAATCAGTTGCCTCCCGTACTCGCCCCAACCAGTGATCAAATTTGCAACCATTTTGGTGCATAGGAAGAAACTCCAACCACCTGAGAGATAGGCAGTATTTTTTCTTTTTAACAGACTTCACAGAATTATACATTCACTTGAGTGTTTTGCCCTTCAGAATATTTCCTTACAGAACTAAAACATTCCATATATTTTGGTGACTTCTTGGCATTTAGAATACATTGCATATGGATTTGAATATCTCCAGTTACTGTAAGTCATTATCCTAAGTTATATCGGATTTGTAGAGCCAGACAAGGTTAATCAAGGTTCAGAAAACAGCATTTTGAATCCAGAGCAAGGTGTGAAAGAGAATCCAAAATATCCAATAGGAGGGCACAGTCAAAGCTCTTTCAATAGATAATTAGAACAATAGATAATACCAGGGAAGATCTAAGGAGTAAATATACTCAGACCAAAAAAAGAAAAAAAGAAAGCTGGAAAAAAAAAAGTCTGCAAAGGCCATTATTAATAATTGCTATGGCAGGCAGGAAGGAAATTGAGTCAGACACGTAGTTCAGTTAGAGAAGCATCAAATAACTGTCAACATAGTCAACACAGTAGACGAGTCAGACTTGTTTCTGGAAAGAAGTTTTGAAGAATCGAAAGCTCAAATTTTACAGTAGAAGAGGGACAGTAGAAAAACATTAGAAAGAATGAATAGTAGATTACAGTCTATGATCAGGCAAATGGAAGAAGCAGGGAACATCTGGATATAATATAACAATGAAGAAGAAAGAAGTTACTTAAGTTAGGTAATGATGAAACTTAATTGCAACAATAAGAAATCATTCCTCTGTTTCTAAGAGTATAAGAAGAAAGAATAGAAAAGTAACTAGAGCAGTTACCTTAATTGAACAGATGAGAGAGAGAATTATCATTACAAAGAATAACAAGAAGCCCGAGCAGACTAATTTAAATGAAAATACTTGTAAATGAATAAAGTCAGGGTTTTAAAAATATGATTCAGAGAACACATTTAAAATTTTTTAAAAAATATATTTTTATTGATTTCAGAGAGGAAGGGAAAAGAATAGAGAAAGAAACATCAATGAGAGAATCATCGATTGGCTGCCTCCTGCACACTGCCTACCGGGGAACGAGCTCACAACCCAGGCATGTGCCCTGACCGTGAATCAAATCCTGACCTCCTGGTTCTTAGGTGGACAGTCAACCACTGAGCCACACCAGCTGGGCGAGAACCCCATTTTAATTCTCTTTCCATGTTTATTTATTTATGTTTAACAAGTCATCATATTTCTAGATCTTGTAACATTCTTATATATATATTTTAAAACATGGTTTCCATAATTAAAAGTAAATGAATGAAAACGAGGAAGGGGAAGCATAGCCTCAGCTATGACTCCCAAAGGTTTTCACAATTAAAGGGAAGTTTTGAGCTTTTTATTTTTCAAATTTATTGAGATACAGTTGATGAAATTGTATATATTTAGGTTATATGTCATGACTCTTTAAAGGTGTGCAATGTGATGATTTAATATATATACTAGTGAAATGATTACTACAGTCAATTTTAGTAACCTATCCATCACCTCACATAGTTATCTTTCCTTATATTTTTATGATGAGAACACTTGAATTTACTCTCTTAGCAAATTTTAAGTATTCAGTACAGTATTATTAACTGTATTCACCATGCTGTACATTGGATCTCCCAGGCTAATTAATTGTATAACTAAAAATTTGTATCTTCTGACCAACATCCTCCGAGTTTCCTCACCCCCGTGCCCCCCTCCAGCATCCATCATTCCACTCTCTAGTTCTGTCAGTTTAATTGTTTTAGATACTACATATAAGTTGCTGCTAGGACCAGCCTAAGGTGCAGGCAAGCCTCGGATGGTGGCTGCCCAGCTGCCCAGGGCCATCCTGAGGCTCAGGTAACCAGGGCTGGCCGAGAATTGCACTGCTGGCAGTGGTAGCAGCAGAGGTATGTTGGAGTGTTGCCTTCCCCTGATCTCCAGGTTGCCTCCTGCCCCTGAGGGCTCCTGGACTTTGAGGGGGGAGGATGGCCTGAGAGAACTCCTCCCCACCAATCCCCCTGTGCATGAATTTTGTGCACTGGGCCTCTAGTTTTATACTAAGTAGGGAAGAAAAGGTTTTGGTTTAGGAACCTACTTAACGTTCAGGGAAGGGAGAACCTTATGACTCTAGTTGTAGTAATTCTGGTAACTACGGATACGAGGTACACTTTGTTTTAGACTTTAATAAATTATTTTTTATTTCTTTCAGCATATTATGACAAGACCATTTTTCATAGAGTTGTACCTGGTTTTATAGTCCAAGGGGGAGATCCTACTGGCACAGGAACTGGTGGAGAGTCTATCTATGGAGCCCCATTCAAGGTGAGACCTAATTTATTATTCTTATTTGCAGATAAGCTTGGGTTTCTTAATTGAAAATAATTGTGCCTCACAAGAAGAGAATGTATTTCACATTAGTGCACAAAATCAGGCGTCTATCACATAATTAGAATTACACAGGTATAATAACAGCACTTAACCTGTTAAGAATTCTTTCCAAGTTGTCTTATCACAAACTTTTTTGCTAGATTAAATTCAGGTGGAGAAAACGGTGAGTGAGAAATAGAAAAGCCTGATATAACATATTTCCTGATATTTCCTATATTTGATTCTGCAACTCTGTAAATGTAAAATATTTTTAGAACATTGCATATGCCATTCCATTTTAAAACATTTTATTTAATACTATAGGAACTTTGTATCAATCTGCGTGGACCTTTATAACAAAGTACCATTGACTGGATGTCTTAAACAACAGCAATTTATTTTCTACAATTTTTGAAGCTAAGAATTCCAAGATCATGATGTGGGTTCCTGGTGAAAGTTCTCTCCCTGGATTGAGAGAGAGAAAACGTGCACATGCTAGCTCTGTGTCTTTTCTCTTTTTATAAGGGGACCTACTGGATTTGGACTTCATTCTTATGATCTACTTTAACCCTTAGGACCTTCTTGACAGGCCCTCTGTCAGATACAGTCACATTGGAGTTAGAGCTTCAAAACAGGAATTTGGGGGAGCACAATTCAGTCCATAATAGATGTAATTCTAAATTTTATACAATAGATAGAACTCTGTAGCACAAAGTGCATGCCATAACAGGAACTCAGTGGAAAAGAAGAAAGAAGCAACATAAAATTGTTAGCAAAAGAAGTGAATATTAATAAAGAATAGGTCAGTGGTTTGTTAATTACCAACATAGATCTAAAAAGAAAAAAAAGTTGATGTTATGCTTAAGACATTAAGAATAACATGGGTTCAGGTAAAAGCTATAACTTAAGTTATTTGTTAATCTGATAGTACCAATAGCATGTTCTTTGAATGAGTAAACTTTAACAACTCTTAAAATATGGGTGTTTTTGAAGACTTTGTGTTTATATAAATGGGACAGAGTACCTGGAGTTTCCTTTAATATTTAATTGGGTCACTGTATGATTCTTGCAAAAAATACTTGAACTATTTTTGTTTGCTTTAATTTCCAGATGATAATATTTTTAGAAAATGTGGAATGGTTATAAAAGTTTCTCATATTTTTATATTTTACCAAATTGAGATAGATGTTTTACAGCCTCGACCTTGTAGGAATCATTTCTGTATTCTATTATTTTGTGAAACAGAATAGCGCTTTTTGACAGTTTATTTCTAAATTGAGATTTTTTTGCTAATCATGTTCAGGTAATGAGTTATTTTGGTAAGTTTTCCAATTATGTCATTTTTAATACAGTATGCAGAGTTATGATCCTTTTAATTTAAATCTCTTGAAAATTATTTTTAAAGGGAAAATAAACTCCTTTCTGAAAAGTTTGATTATATAACAACTATATTATAAATGAGTCTAAGAATGGGGCCTGGGCAGAAATTCTATTAACTAAGAGACTAATGTTTATGTTATGTAGCTCGACTATGGCAAGGAAACCACCTTAAAAGGGCTTGCTACTGCCCTTTAAAAAATTTAATTTAGGACTCTAAAAAACACAGTAAAGCACATAACATAATCATAGTAGATTTCTTGAATTAAAAACAAGGAAAAGCAATTGTTTCTGGCTTAGAATATGTTGGAGGGGGGCAATAGTTGAAGCCTCTGCAGTGATTCAAAGGTAATTTTATTGGAGAAAAAAATAGAAGGTTCTAAAAACTTAGATGACTTTGAAGGATGGGAAAATAGGTGAATGACTCTTAGAAATCCCTTCCTCATCAAGTACCATTTCTCTGTGTAAGTAGACAGATTTCCACAAAATAGGCTAAATTTGTAGCTGAGTATATTCAGAAGACAGAGGATACTGGAGTCAAGTTTAATAGCATTGAAGATATAGTAGATATTGGATATGATTATACTTGAAAACAGTTAGGTACAACTTCAGCATTTCTTATTAGAAGCTTTATGGAACCTTGTTGGTTAGCTGAATATAAAGGGCCTTATCACTGAGGTTATTCACTAAATCTTTTCTTTTTATGCTTCAGGATGAATTCCACTCAAGGTTGCGTTTTAATCGGCGAGGACTGGTTGCCATGGCAAATGCTGGTCCTCATGATAATGGCAGCCAGTTTTTTTTTACACTGGGTCGAGCAGATGAACTTAACAATAAGCACACCATCTTTGGAAAGGTTTGTGTCCATTATATTAGGCTTCTGTGATACATATGATCAACTTACCTATGAGCTGCCTTCATAAATTATCCCCTGGGATATTTATTTCTTTTCAAAAATGATGGACTGTATTCCTGTTATAATGAACTATGAAGTTTTGTGTGTGTTTTTCAAATAAGACATTGGTTGGGACTTTAAACTTTCTTTTTCTAAAATCGTACTAACCGTATTAGCTACTATGCCATTCAGCTGATACTGTTTTTTTTTATGTTTTTTTGCAAGATACCTAGGAAATAAAACTTACTAGCAGTTTAATGTTTATTTTGTTAATGATGAATTCCCATAAGTTTAAAGTGGAAGTTATATAAACATTAAACGTGTTTACCTGAAATACTACTTTCAGTAATAACTATTTAATCCTGCACACAATCAGCATAATATCAGGGAATGTCATTTCCATAGAATTTTTAACAGTTTTCCTTAAAAAGGTTTCTGAAGGTTTTCTTTTCTCACTCTTCTCCCTTCTCATAAACTCCACACTCCTATATGTTTTGTCTTAGGCATGATAGACATCACTAGTGTATCAGCTCCCTCTACTGGTTCGGTAAGAATGGTTTCTCCATATCCTAGGCAAAGCTGAATGTTGGGAGGATGAAAGGGTGAAAACAAACTTAGCTCAAATATAAAATTGGTATTATTTTAAAACTTGATAAATGTTGAATGAAAGGCGTCCCGCTAAAAACACGCAATATAATATTGTTGCTTAATACTTAACAACGTGGGTTAAGAAGTATGCATTGGCACAGCTGAGGCACTCCGACATAGATTGCTGATGTTCATAGATTTTATTTCTACTATTTAAAAAAATAAAAGTGTTTAATAAGATGAGGTTTAGGTTGCCATTCTGCACCATTGTTTACAGTTGATGTTATATAATCTACACATTCTGAAAGGCCATCCCTGTGGGCTCTATAACTTCTTTGAACTTCAGTTTTCTTATCTGGAGAAGGAAGATAATGTTTATAGCTACTTTTAGGATATTTGTGAGGATTAAATGAGAATATCTGCAAAGCAATTACCACATTGTTATTTGCTTGTTCTATCCTATTATAAAGTCTATATTTATTTCTGATGTTTGAATGAAAAGTTCTCATTCAGTAAGAGGTTATTTGGCATCATTATAGTTTTTAATAAAAGTATATATTGGAAATTTCACAAAAATTTTATTGAGGGGTTGCACTTCATCTAGGCTTTTTCCTCTTAAGATGAAGTTGCTTTTTCTGTATTATTTAATGCATATGCTCTTATATAATAATATGAAATTCCCTTTTAATTATTTAAAATATATTTTCAAAAGTGTTCCCTTATTTCAAAGAATGAATGTAATAATTTGCAATTGAATTTTTGTTTTTATTTAATAGATTACAGGGGATACAATATATAACATGCTGCGACTGGCAGAAGTAGACACTGATAATGAAGAAAGACCACTTAATCCACACAGAATAAAAAGTTGTGAGGTAGGAGCATGATTAGTATAAGATATAGCACTTAAATGGTCATAGAAGAAATTTTCAGTAGTCTTTTTAAAAAATAATAATTTATCAGTTGTTTTTTACAGAGAGAGGCAGGGAGAGGGAGAGAGAAACAATCAATGTGAGAGCCTAACATCGATCGGCTTCCTCCAGCACGCCCCATACTGAGGTCAAACCCACAACCCTGGCATGTGCTCTCTGACTGGGAATCAAACTGGCAATCTTTTGGCAACCAACTGAGCCACACCAGCCCGGGCTTATAGTTACTATTTTTAAACTGTCAGATGAAGTCTTTATACTAAATTAAGCCACAACTCAGATTTTATCTGTGTAATTTAGGTACATTTTCTTTTTTTCTTTAATCCTTTCTTGAGGATATTTTTTCCATTGATTTTCAGAAAGAGTAGAAGGGAGAGGGGAGGGGAAAGAGAGGAGAGAGAAACATCAATGTAAAAGGGACACATTAATTGGTTGCCTCCTGCATGTGCTCTGACAGGGCCATGGGTCAAACCAACCCAGGTATATGCCCTTGACTGGGAATCATATCTGAGATCATTCAGTGGTGTGTGGATCAGCACTAACCATTGAATAACATGATCAGGGCTAGGAACAATTTCTGATTAAGACTTTTTAAATTCAAAGTTTTGAATTCTAAGATGAAATTTTAGATGATAATCTAATGAATGAAAAACTCAACTCAGAATGGAAAGTTAGAGGAATTAGGTTTATTTAATCCAATGAAGTGACTTCATTGGTAATTTAAGAGTGATCCTTCATTGAGGGAGCCATTGAGGGTGATCTTTAAGAACAAAATCAGAAGAGACCTGATTTTGTTTCTCATACTATATATTGTTTTCTTGAATATTTTTTCCCTTTGTAAAATAAGAATAAGATATCCTTTACTTAATAGCACATAGGATTATTGGGAGATTATATTGAGGCCATGTAAGTGGAAGAGCTTTATGTGGTATATGTTTCACTATACTTATAATATTTTTGTAAGGAAAAATTATAGACACTAATGTCAATACAATTAAATATTGTTTTTAATTTTAAAAATGTTTCTTTTCATAGGTTTTGTTTAATCCTTTTGATGACATCATTCCAAGGGAAATAAAAAAGCTGAAAAAAGAGAAACCAGAAGAGAAAGTAAAGACATTGAAAACCAAAGGCACAAAGTAATCATAGTAGTTAGATTTTTCTTCAGCTTGAAAAGCAACACTGATTCATTTAGTTCACTTCATTTCCTTTTCTAAACATTGTTTACTAGTGAGAGGTAGGCCAGTTTGGACCAGGGAGATAACTGAATTACGAGTGTGTATTCTATTCTGCATGAGCATTTCTTGTATTCAGATACAGTATATAACTTAAACTTAAGCTAAAAAAGTATTGCCTCAGACGTCCATATAAAATCTGTGTTAATATAAATAAGTAGGGATTACTATAGCAATTACTTATATAAATGAGTTATTGAGAATTGTTCTGTTTTTCACTTGTTTTTCAATTAATATGTGCTCAGTATAAGCAACTGGGAAAGTAAAATATGAAGTATATGACAATGCTTATATAACTTTTCACTCCTTTTTTGGTGTTTATAAATATTAAGTATAATGCTGTTTCTGTACTCTAGATATTTCCTTAGAATAGTTTTCTTTTTTTATATATATATATTTTATTGATTTTTTACAGAGAGGAAGAGAGAGGGATAGAGAGTTAGAAACATCGATGAGAAAGAATCATCGATCAGCTGCCTCTTGCACACCCCCTACTGGGGATATGCCTGCAACCAAGGTACATGCCCTTGTCCGGAATCGAACCCGGGACCTTTCAGTCCGTAGACCGACGCTCTATCCATTGAACCAAACTGGTTTCGGCCCCTTAGAATAGTTTTCAAAAAAATAGAAATTTCTTTTTTTAATTTCCAGTATTTTGTGAACCGTATTCTTTACATTATTAGTCTGTCTTATTAAAATAGATTAATTGCTTCCCATTTGTAGTGCTCTCAGGTCTATATATTTATTAGTTTTTCAGAATTCTCAATTTTGATAACCAATTTTGACAAATATAAAAAGCTTAATTATTTCTGTCCTGTTTGACTTAGTATATTTAATGGTAGTGCTCAGAATGGATTTTTGGTCATTAGTTTAGTCTAGTATATTAATCATATGTGGTCTGAGGCCAAAACCATAACATTATGCTAAAAATATAGATCATTAGTATATTTCTATTGAATATTAAGTAATATTGTCTACTGTTAAACAGAAAGCATTTCTTCTTGTAAGTTCTCTATTTTTGGGGGGGGGTACAGAGGCGGAATAGAATATTTATAAATTTTGTTTAACTTTTTCTTTCTAATTTTCTTTCATTCTTTTTCCCTTTTTTTAATTAGAAATTTTAATTTGCTTTCATTTGGAGAGGAAGCTGAGGAAGAAGAGGTGGAAGTAAATCGAGTTAGTCAGGTAAAAACCATAATTTGCCCTTTTTTCTGAATTGTAAAAAAATTAAAGTTTATATCTTACTCATTTTTGTATTTCCTGCTGGACACAGAGCACATTCAGTAAACGCTCATGGAACTAATTTGTAAAATGATTATGGTCAGTAATATTTGCATCTTCTGAGAAGATTTTCCCTCTTAAAAATAACTCATGGACATGGACAACAGTGGTGATAGCATGGGGCAGGTGCGGGAGGTGGAAGAAGGTATTGGGGGGATAAATGGTAATGGAAAAAAAGAAAAAAATTGATAGTTTTTTTAAACCTGGAATTTTTTTTTCCAGTCAGTTAGAACTAAAGTTAAAGAACTTTTTCAGATTTTAATTGCTATTTGTTTAATGGTTTTGCTAGATGATAATGATTATTGTTAGTATTATAAATAGTGATAGACCAAAAGATCTTGTATTCATTTAAATATTTATATATATTTATTCATTTTATCAATTCTCATCACAGCCCTTTAAGATAGGTATTATTAATATCCCCATTTTACCCATGATTCTATTAATGTATAGATAGGTTATAATTTGCTCAAAGTCACAAAAGCAGGAAGTTATCAAGAGCTAGGATTTGAACCTACATCTATAATATCTCACATACAATCCATGTCTTTGGATTATATATCGCCTCTTGGCCTTTTACCTCAAATATGTCCCATATGCCTTCAAGTACGGTGTTCCTCAGTCTCACTTTCTCCATAGTACTCATTGCTGAAACCCATATAGTGCCCTGCCATTGTTCACAGCAGTGATTCTAATAAGTATACTTCAAGAAAATCATCTAAAGTATTTTCACTCCCAAATATTCTGATATGTCTTCCTTTTTGGAAAGTTAGCGAACACTGAGATCTAAGGATTAGGTTCAAAGTCTTTACTGTAGTAATTAAAACTCTATAACCTAACACTGCCATACTTGCTTGCTTAACTTAGTCACCTATTTCTTACCAACACTAACACTAGCATTGACTTAAAAGCACATTATTGTTTTCTTTGTCTTTACTTCTTTACCCATGTTTTTGCTCCCCTAACCATGGGGCATAGTTTTGGTGGGCTAATATTGAGGATACAGTAAGCACACTACTATACCCCTCGCATTAAAACTGAATTAAAGTGGGCTCATATTAGAAATATTTTGGTCATATATATTTTTTCTCACTGACTTCAATATTCTTGAGTGATCTATTTTCTACTGTGATTCAATTATCACCTATAAACTAATACTCTGAACATGGAGATAAGACTATATATTTTTTTCTGGGCTCTTCCTCATTCTGAGTGCCCTGAGGAAGCATCTCTACAACAAGGGAGGAAGGGCTTGGGAAGCTGTACTTTTGTTGAATTCCCTGTAATTCTTATCAGGGAAACGTAGGAAACACTGCATCAGCAGATCTGAACTGTTTGCTATCCTATATAATAAAACCCTAATATGCTAATTAGACCATACGACATCCTTCTGGACGGAGCCAGGGCTGTGAGGGCTGAGGCAGAGGCAGTTTCAGGGGCCGAGCTTCTGGCACGATTTTCGTGCATCGGGCTTCTAGGTTTACATAAATGCCTTGTATTTTCCCTTTTGTGTTTGTGTCTATGTTTTCTCCCTGCCTGAAGTGTCCTATCCCACTTCTGGGTATCAAAGTCATATTTATTTTCACAACCTAAAATACCGTCTTTTCTTTTTCTGGTCTAACCTTTGCTTTGTGATCCTTACATTTTCTTTTTAAAAATATTCTTTTTGTTTTATGTATAAGAACCCTGACTTTGTTCTCATTGTATACTACTGAAACATTTCCCCTTTTTCTTTCTGTCTTATTGTGTGGAGTTCCAGGCCATGAGCTCCTTGGTGTAAACTTTGTGTCATCTTTGAGTGAGAGTGTGTTTGGGTAGAAATAGCATGGATTTGAGGTCATACAAACTTATGTTGGCACTTCACTTTCCACCGGTACTTGGTGAATTTGGATAACAGTCTCTCTGAGCCTCAATTTTTCTCTTTGTAACATGGAAATAACATGTACCATTTAGAATAGTGAAATTAGGCTCTGTATATCCTTATATCGATATATTATACAATCTTGGAAATATTTTTGAATGTTAAATGTCTTAAACAATATACTCTGTTATAATTTGTATTTTATTCTCAGAACGCTAAAGAATATCAAACAATCTCTAATGTGACCATAACTATTATGCAGAAGTTGCCATCCTCATGCTCAGGCAATCTAGAGGTTGGGGAGAGACCTCCCCAGCAGTTCAGCTTTCTGGGGTAGGACGCCATATGCACAGCATAACTAACCTAGTGCCCTTCCAGAGCCCTCCCAGAGGGTTCTTGCCACTAGCCTGAGCAGCCTGGAGAGCACAAGTAGACACCTGTACAGCATGACCCACCCACAGCCTGTTCTCCACATGGAAGTGTGCGGAGTCTTTGGCCTACAGAATTTAGCTGTTTTGTCTGTTTATATAATGGAGTCATTATTAAATTCATCTTGAGAAAATAGAACAACAAAAATTGTTAAAATTTACTGACATAGAGGAAAGAAAATTTTTCTATAGTACATGAGATACATTTAAAAGAGATTCAAATGGAAGTGTATTTGTTTATTTTGCTTTTAAACTATTCTTTACACTATGAGCACCATTCAAAATATATTTTACCTTATGGGTACAATGAACACTTAGGGGAAAAAGGGGAGCGGGGAAGCTAGCTTGAATGTTGAATGACCTATAGAATAAATATATTTTAAAATTTAGCCTTACTGTTTTAAAATGTATATAACAACCAGAAACAGAGTCAGGTGTCTTTTACAATGACTAAGAACAATTTGCCATTTTAGTAGTTGCATGAAATTAAATATTTCTAGAGGACTTGAAAATAATTGTTTCATTATTCATTTACTTATCAAGTTTCTTTTTTCAGTGACTCCACAGTGTTAAGCTTTATTCCAGAACCAGTCTAACATCACAACTTAATAATGGGTGAAGTCTGAATTGAGGCTTTCCTTTATGTGAAAGGAGAAATAAGATAGAGTCCCCCCAGGTTTATGGATTATCAGTATGGGATTACAGACACCGCTTCACCCCACTCATTTACTCGTGACAAGGCGCCTCTCCCACGTGGGTTCGCTTTCCTTCATTATTTATTTCAGTATCTTTCTACTACCTGATAAAAATCTCTTTTAGAATAATAGAATTTTATAGCTTAAAGGGATCTAGTCCAACTTCCTTTCTTTATAGATGGGGAAACTAAGACTCTGGTTAAGTGACTTTCCAGACTGACTCATTTCCTTTTTGATAGGATTGCATGATAGGGGGGTGCCATAATGACACATCTTGAGTTCAGGAAAGCACATTGTCAGAGTCTCTCATATTCTTGTGGACGGCGTGAGGAAATGTGATCCGGGAGATAGTACAGTCAGATGGATTTATAGCTGATTGAATACTTTTGCCCAAAGAGAGCTTTGTTGTCAATCTGTGCCTGATTATTTGAACTTGTCAGTTGAAATGTAATAGGAGCACATGTAAATTCTATACTTTAGTTTAATGAAATCAGCTGAACAGGTATAAGACTTAATAGCCTGTAAGCCCTGGTTGAATTATTAAGAGAGTAAGGTCTCTGGAATAAGGAATTTAACATTCTTTGCATTTTTTGCTTACATTTGCAGCATTTTGTTCAGTTCTGAATACCTTGAAGAAGGATGTTGACAAAGTAGCTGCATCCAGAGGCTGGGCGGGTTATGAGGAGGATGGGGATAATACCAGAACCCATCTCACATAGGGACTGCTTGGGGAATGCGATAGACTTGGGAGAAGTAAAAACTAAGTGAAAATGTGATTCTAGGCTTCACATAATTGAAAGGTTTTTGTCTGGCAGATCCCTCCCTTCCTATTGCTGTCTTAAATACAATAATAGCTTTATTCAGTTGTCTGTATTGGTTCAAAGTTTATTCCTAAATCATTGTGTATAATTTAAATTCAAATGTCATAAAATATTTTCAAATGAAAGCTTATAATCAGACAAGTAGTTTTTATGAGGCAAGTTAAATGGTAGATATCATCATAAAAGAATCTTAATAACTAGATCTTTTAAATTGTGATTAAATTGTACCACATTTACAATAATGTTGCGTATAATATTTCTTTTACTTCAAGATGTTCACATTTTTACCCCAAAAGCAGTTATAAAAAGGTTTGTGTTTTTTTTTCTCACTCAGGAAAAGTTGTATTGATGGAGAAAGGAGGGGAGGTAAAGGAGGAGTAGAAATAGTGTACTATAGCACAGTGCCTGTCACAAAGTATATACTTAATAGTAGGAGTAGTTGCTATTTTACAGTCCTGCTTATATCTTCCCATGACTTGTTTCTCTACTAAAATATAAATTTATTGAGCTCATGAGCTTTGAAAGTAAAGCATTTATTAAGCATTTGGTCACTGATGAATGTTGTCATACTTGAGAGGCTCTTCTGTTCTGTCTTTTCTGCTTGTTGAATGGCATCTTATAGGTGCACTCATGTGGTTGCTTGGGCACATTTAAAAAGTGATTCTGTGCAATGTAAAGAATCTATTAGGAGGATAATAGTGTACATTTATTTCAAGTTACTCATGATTTATCTTCTAAGTTTTACTATCTGGGCCAAATTAATTAGTTTAGCTGTATGTAAATCTTAAGAGGGTTCAGTGTTTGGAAATAGTAATCAATAAACTTATTTTCAAGAATATGTCACCTTTTGAAAGAAAAGATGTTTCTAAAATAATATTCTCAGCCAATTCAGGAAGGTTCTCATTCATAAAGCTTGAGTTTATACTGAAATTTTCAGGAACACATTTCTTTTGCTCACCACTTTTATCGGTACTAGATTTTATGTAAAGTTGTTCCCTTGTCCTTTTGGAAGACTCTTCTTTCCTCCCCCACTTATGATTTTACCATGCATTCCTTTCTAGAGCATGAAGGGGAAAAGCAAAAGTAGTCACGACTTGCTTAAGGATGATCCACACCTCAGTTCTGTTCCCGTTGTTGAGAGGTTGGTATGGTGCTATGTGATCCTAAGTTCTCATTTCCTGGCTAACTAGTAGGTACTTTATATCTCCCTTCGTGAGTAAACAGTTGTTTCTTATATGTCAAATTTTTTTCAACCCAGCCAAAAAGCTACAGCATTTTGACAATGGAGGTAGTAGAGCTTCTAACACGTAGAGAGAAGCACTGTAGTCACTTTCACTCTTCTTGCTATCTACTTCAGTTGAACTCATTAAATTTAAAATTGTTAAACTTTTAAATCTTGGGATAGTTTGAAGACTAGGGAAACTGTTTGCTTTAACATTTTTATGTTTAATTCAAAGTTACTTTGCTAACTTTTTCCTTGGAGCATTTTTGTCTCAGTTGGTACATTGGGTAAAAAAATCAAAAGTGAAGGGTTTTGTGAAAGTCACCACATTTGGGGCCAATCCATTGACTATTATTTCTTATATATTAAAGGAGTTAACAGAAAATTTATCTTACTATCTTTGTTGCTTCTCTTTGAGAAGGGAAGATATCTTACTGTTACATATAAGTGCATGTAAAATATTGGGCCAGTGTCTTAAAGGGGGACTAAAATACTACTATACCAAGTTTAGCTCAGTTTCAAAAATTCTGCTTCAATCCGTCTTTTCTTAATACCATTGTATTTGAAGGATTTGATTTCATGAACCATAATATGTCCATCCAATGTAAAAAATATTGTTTTCTGCAGCCTTTTGATCATAAAAATAGCATTGTTGATTTTTTTTTCAATTTTCTTTTAATTCTATTGTTTTTGTGTGTGTGCTAATGGAGCATACCTCTTATTCTATTTATTAAAAAAAAATGACTCATTTTTAGGATGTTTCTACTTACTCTAGAATGCCATTCTGAAATTCCTATGTTGAAATAAGTTTTTGAAGTTTTAATCCAACAAAATATTCTAAATTTTTGGGTTATTGAATAATTTTATTACTTCCATTTTGAAGCTGAAATTTACTTGTTTTCCTTATTATTATTTTTTTTTTTTGTAGTGAAAAGGATGATGCAACAGGAGACTTAGATGATGTGAGTATTTTTGTATAAATATAATTTGAACAATTTACAGAAAATTCAAATTTTTATTAAAAATTTAATTGTTTTTCTTAAAAGGTTATACACAGGGTTTCCAGAACAAATGTATACATGCTTTAACAACTGATAGCTCAATTGATGTTCCTTACTTTTCAGATGTAATCTATTAGAACTAATAATTATTTAAAATTTGTATATTTTGGGGGGACACTCTGAATATTACTTTTATAATTATGTATATCAAATTTTGAAAAAATATGAAAGACTTTAAAAATGTATGGTATTTTTGCTATTATAATATCTTCTTCCAAGTGTATGTCTACATTTGTGTAGAATCTTATATATTGATTTCTAGCTTGTTTTTTCTCCCTATGATGTAACATAACTTGAATAATCAAAATTCAGATGTTATTTTATTTTATTATGTTAAAAGTTGAAATGTTGATGCTTGGGTATCTTATATGAAGAATGGAAAATACTTGGATAAGTCCTAGTAGGATTCCATCTTTATACATACATTTCAGAAGATTCTCTTTAATGATTGAGGTTATCTTTTTAGTTTTACTAGCTTAAAGCTGACAAAAGAGAAGGCAGTTTCCTTTATATCATATATAAGAGATCAAGTTTTTCAAGTTATCTATTTGGCACTTTATGTAAAACCCATTATCTGTGCATCATATAATTCGGTAGGAAGTACATAGCTTTCTATGCATAAATACTATTGCCACAGTCAAAAAAGAGGGTTCTTTCTGATTATGGAGGGTAGAGAAAGAATGAATATCTAACCTGTTCAAGAAAATCTTCCTGGAAGAGATGATTGTCTTGTGTCTTATAGAAGAATTAGAAGTTAACTAGATCAAAAAAGGTGATGAAGGTTCCTCTAGCTTGGAGATAGCATATGCTAAAGCCCAGTAACAAGGAGAGATTATATCTTATATAGGAAGCACAGTCTGAGGTTAAAGTATGAGAAGGAACTGGCCTTATGTAAGGAGTAGGGAAGAGAAGAGTGTTGAAGGTAGAAGAAACTACATATATAAAAGGCTCTGAGGCAGGAGAGAGTTTGGTATGGAAGACCTCAGTCAATGGTTATCAACTTTTAGGGCTAAAGAATGTCTTAAAACATCTTACTGAAAACATTCACAATTTCTGTTCCTCAATATTTGTTGTGGAAAAACTGGGATAAGGGATAGGATTTTATATTTTTTAACAAACAATTCAGGTTATGTAGTCTGAGAGCCAAACTTTGAGGACCATTGCTCTAAAGGTCTACAACCTCAAGTTAAGAATCTTGCCTCACTATGACTCAGTTGATCAAAGAAACAGAATAGAAAAAGATCCCTTTGAAATATCATTCTTCTTATCCTCCCTTCTTTCCTCCCTCTCTTCCTCCTTCTTTTTCTCTCCACTCTTTTCTCTGTTGATGCTGGGAACTATTCTAGAATTTGAAGATACAGCAGTAGGCAAAATGGTCCAGAATATTAGTTCTCATGGAATGCTTCCTCTAATTATTGGGAGCAAGACAATAAAACACATAATAATTAAATTGCAGGTCAGATGGGTGATAAATGCTTTGCAGGGGGGAGGGAGCAACAGGGAAGGAGAATAGAGTGCTGGAGGTGAGTGGGTGATTCTTCCATTTTAACAGGGTGATCAAAATAAGTGTCACTGAGAGGGTAACATACGAGAGAGATCTGAGATGAAAGAGCAAGCAATGCAGATAAATGGAATAAGAATGTTTCAGGCTGGAGAGAATAACAACTCCAAAGTTGGCAGGTGTTGCTGAGGTGGAGCTATGTGACATCATGTCAGGGAGGTATAGATGAGTAGGGTCTTGGAGTGAGTTGGAGATCCACTGAAGGGTTGTGAGAAGAGGAGTAATTGCTGTGACAGATTATAGAAGAAATCTCAGCTGTCCTATCTCCACCTCTTTACTTGATTTCTGGTTGAGGTCAGCATGCTGGTGATACAGGAGCACAGTTTATTGCACAGAGGGACTGGGTATGAATTGAGCAAACAGCCCTGACTGGGTTATCTCACACTTACATAGTTCACCCAGAGCAGACCTCAGAGGTATTCCCATCTGTAGCAGATTCTTCATTCAGCTTTTGCTAATTCAAAACCCAACAAAAAGGAAAACAAACCTGGCTTAAGATGCAATGAGGAGTCTGTAAGTGAAAGGGAAGATGGAATGCCCAGTACATACTCCATTTCAATTTCTACAGGATGAAGAATTTGAGGGTGCAGAGAATGATGAAAGCATTGATGGTGATGAGAAGAACCTGATGAGAGAAAGAATTGCAAAAAAGTTAAAAAAGGATCCAAGTGCAAGTGTTAAATCATCTGGAGAGGGAGAAGGGGAGAAGAAATCAATTAGCCGTAGGTAAGTTGCTAATTGTGCTTCTAGGTATCAGAGTATTTGTTTTTTTATATTTCATTTTAAATTAAGATTGAGTCCTCTGTTCAACTTACTGTTTAAAATACTATTTTCATAATGCTTGATATATGCACTAGTTGTGCTAAATTACCCCATTTGGAAGCCTAAAAGAAAATAGGCCAGTTTTAGTAATTACAGCAATGAATCAAATTCCACTTCATTTTTTTCTGATCTCATCTTCAAAATCTTCTATACAATTTGTTATATATGAGTAAGCAATATATTAGCTAGATGGGGAAGGTTGTGTTTGTTTAATATCAATGAGAGTAGCAGAATAATTGTGTAGAATGAAAAGAGATGTCTTCAGATTCAGGTGAGTAAAATTTGTCAAAACTGGTTAAAGAAAATGTGTAGGCATAAAAGCATTTTTAAATACCTTTTCAAGTCTGATTTATACCATATACCCCTACTAATCTTAATGGTATAATAGAAGAAATTTCAGCAAATGCCTGATAAAGAGTTGTTGAACTTTGTGACTCAACATTTTATTTCCCTTAAATTCAACTTAATTGAAAAATTCTCCTTTGTGATTCTATTACTATAACTTTATGGTATATGTTTTAAGTAATATTGCTTTAAAAAGTAATACTATTTGTTTTCTTTTGATGGCTTACATTTGGGGTAAGATAGATATAATTACATATTGGTGTAAAATTGCCTATCCCTTGGCTGAGACTGAGCACCTTCAGAAGCTCTTATTTATCTTTACATCCTCTGAGTCATATGCATACAGTAATTGGTCATTAAAGTGTGTGTAATGAATGGATGCAAATGAATGAATACAGTTGTGATTCATTAGAGGAATGGTTTTCACTGTCCTCTGAACATTAGATTCACTAGATTTCACTCCTGACTGGACATTAGATTCATATTAAGTTCACATTGGATGCCTGGCCTCTCCCACAGATTCTGTCATTTTATCTGCAGTGAAGCCTGGGCACATCCTTTTGTTTTTTTTAATCTTTTAATTAAAGTATCGTATACATATGGAATATATCTGTATAAATTATATTTCATAGTGCATATATCATAAGCTTATATAGCTTGCTGAATTTTTTATAAGCCAAATATACCCATATATCTACCCAGATCAAGAAACAAAACTGCTATTACCTGGAAGTCTCCCTCTTGCTCTATTCTGGTTACCTCCTCCATCATATTCTAATAGTAAACACTTTTCTAACTTCTAAAAATGTACATCAATTTAGAACAATAATTCCTTATAAAAGCACTCCAAATAGTCTACTGTGTACCCCGAATTAGAACCCCAGTCCCCACCAAACACACACTTTCTTGGTTATTTCTGAGGCATAGAATAACATAGAAGTAGATTTTAAAAATTCTAGTGTTACCTCAGATCTTTTTTATAGTCTAACAGGGATAAGACATTTATATCAATTAAAGTGAGTTTCGATCTTTGAAAAAGATAAGGGTCAGTATAGTGGAAATTAAGTAACTTTAGAAGAAGGAAAATATGATATTTGAGTATCCCTAATGTTTTTAAAAGATGTGTACTGGTAAGGATTTAAATCAGTCTCCTTGAACTTTTTCTGTATATTTGAATTACTTGAGAACAGGGGATCAGAACTTTTGCTTTGGGATTATAGACATTTTAAAAAGAACCCAAGTTATTCTGTGTGCACTCTAGATTAATTGAAAGTTGAGGGAAATTGGAGTTTGTATTTGGAAAGTCCTATTTTTTAAAATATTTTTTTAATCTATTAATTTATTTCATAATTAAGTCTTTATCCTCTCATTGAGCTCCTCACCCCAACTCATGCTCTCAACCCCCTGGTGTCTTATCCCAATAAACTAGAAACACCAATCAGAAAGGATATATGCACCCTTATGTTCATAATAGCACAATTTACCATAGCTAAGATTTGGAAGTCCTTTTTTAAACTTAGTGTAAAGAATCTTTTCTTGCCTGTAGGTGGAGCTCAGCTGCTACAAGTTAATCATGTAAACCAAATTGAATTGTCTGCCCTATTTGTTTTTTGCATCTGAATATTGATTCATAATAAATGCCAGTGAGCCTGGCTGGCATGGCTCAGGTGATGGAGCATCAACATATGAACCAAGAGGTCACGGTTTGATTCTTGGTCAGGGCACATGCCTGGATTGTGTGCTGGGCCAGTTGTGGAGAAACATCTCATCATTGATGTTTCTCTCTCTCTCTCTCCCTCTCCCTTCTTCTCTGAAAAAAATAAGAATATATTTTTTTAAAATAAAATAAATGACCAGTGAAATCAAATGTAGCGAGGGATCAGACAGTCAGAAATCAGTGGTTTGTTGTGATTTTTACAGTCATTATGGAAATTCTCTTTTATTGTATTATTTCTATCATTGGTAATTTTATTGTGATTTCTCTTCTAAATTATTTTCATCAAATTGAAATATAAATCAAAGAAATCTTGACACATACCATCATATCTCAATTATTAAAGATTTGATAGTAATAGTTCAGGGCTAATTAGGGTGGTATTAGTTTTAGACTTGAAACAGTTACAATGGCATGATTCCTTTTTCATAAACCAGCTCTCTTATTTGATAAAGTTAAGTAGAATTTATGTTTTACTCATGAGCTGTATTAGGTTGACTGAATATGAAATATCTTACTGTAATGAAAGCATCAAGAATTTAGATATGAATATTTCAGTTGAGGTTGAAGATCTAATGAGTTGGAGTGAACTTTAAATTATGGAGCGTGGGATAATAGTCATAAATACCTCCAGAGGCCTGGGTGAACACCCAGATGACTGTTGCTAATTTTAGTCTCTCACATCTCCATTTGTAAGGATTTCTTAAGGAATTGTGACACTCCTCTGCCCGTCTTCCCCTCGGTATTTCTAGCCTTCTCAACAACATTAATGACCTATCTCTTTGCTTTTGGGAATTTTTGAGTTTTAATATATTTTGTGTTCTGGTTTCTCTTACTTAATGATTAGAATTAGGAAGTACAGAGTTGTCTTTGTACATAAACTCTGTTTGCTTTAGCAAATTCAAAAAGATATTACAACATTTAAATTTCTTAAATTTAAGAAATTTGAAGATAGTACTCATTTTAGAATGGTAGTAAAAATTCTAAAAGAACCAGTGGATACATTCAGTAGAGGGGGTGAGGGCTTGTGCTTGAGGGAGGAGGTGACTTGGGAGAGGTCAGTGGGGCGGGCGGGGGCGGGGGGAAGGGAGGGAGGAGATTCATGTAATACTTTAAACAATAAAGAATTTTTAAAATTCTAAAAGATTATGATAACAAGGATGGAAATCCACAAACATTCTAACAACCCTATTAAAACCATTGGAATCTTTATCTCTAAGAAGTTCCCCTCTTCATTTTATCAGAACATTTCCAAGGAGTGAAATTGAACAGCTAGAGCATTTCTGCTTTCTTCGCCTTCTTTGCCTCAGGTGTACTTAAGCAAACAGTAAAAGGGAGTAAGGAAAAGAAACAGCAATCTACATATAGATCATTGGTCTCCAAATAAAGAAAATTGCATTCCTTTGGTATGGAGTAGTAGTGGTCCACATGTTGTATTTTCATGACATATTTGGGTTTAACAGTAGAGCAGTCCTAATTTTAATCAAACTTGCATTTAGTAGGACTTGGTTTTCAGTTTTTATGTGTTCTTTCCTGTCCAGTCATTCTATTCTCAAACATATGTTACTCTTGTTGTGAGTCATTGTGCAGGAACTGCTGTGTGCCAGACAGTACTAGGCTCCAGGGACATGAAAATAAAGGATAAAGGGCTTCTGTCTGCAAACTTTCATAATATAGTGTAAGAGTAAGAACTAATAAACAATTCAAAATGTATGCAAAGAATTATGGAATCTAAGTAGACAATATATATTTCAGGAAAAACTCAAAATACGAGGTTGAATATAAAATTGCCATTTTTGTAGGTCAAGAAAAGTAAAATATCAGCAATTTTGTAAGTTTTACCCCAATGCTAGTAAGATAAACACTTTTTTTGGAGCCACTCTTTATAAGAAATAACATTTTAGCATTAAATTAAATCCTTTAATCTTGCATAATCTCCAAATATAGATTAGTGGTTGATTTATTACTTTTACCTGTTACATGTATAATTTTGGAACAGTGGCTATTATAATATAAACCATACCATCATTTGGCATTTCTGGCAAGCTTTCATTTTCCTTCTGTTTGGATCTTCACAGCAAGAATTTTGGATATTCTGGACAAAACCATGCCTTAGGCTGTTTGAAATAAAATACCACTTTAAAAATGTCCAGTTAATTCATTGAGACTCTTAATCCATATTCAAGGAATCACCTTCAAAATAAAACAAAACAAAAAAAAATTTCTTGAATTTCAGTTACTGTGTATGCTTCAGAAATATGACAACCCTACTGTTTTTCCAATTAGATTTTGTAGGGCAGACAGGATGCAGTGAGATGCACATGTGGGGAGATTCTCCTGTCCCAGTGAAAAAGGGTACTTGTATCTCTTTAGAATGTGTTGATTTGTGTTAACCCTTCAGTATAACTTGTTTATAGGGAATGGAATTGTACCTTTGACATGCAGTATTGAGATTATGTGCAGAAAAACATTATTTAAATTTTTCAGCATTTGAGGGAGTGTTTTCTGTCTACCCTGTAACATATATAATCACATTGAAATGTTTTGAAATGTTCATTGCTTTTTTGCCTTCCTAGACTTCCTAATGAGTTAATTCACCTCTAGATTAAATGTGAGGTAAAAGTTGGATAAAATGAAGAAGAGAAGGGCTACCCAAGGCACAAAGTTCTTTGTTTAGCACCAAGTTAAAAGCACAGGAAATTACACAGGCCACTCTCTATAAAACAAGAACTATCCAAATGACCTAGAGACAGATTTAAAAATTTTGTTTGACTTTTACAAAATGCATATCTTAGGACCCATTCCCCTCAGATAAACCAAAAAAAATCTCATTCAGTGTGTCTAG